GCCCTTCGCCGCCCCCGCCGCCTGCATCAAGAGCGAGCTGGGGCCCTGGGCCGAGGGCTATGCCGGCGCCTACGGCGACGTCCGGTAAGTACCCGCGTCCCGCTGGCACCCCACATCCTGCTGTCATCAGCATCCCGCATCTCGGCGACACTGGCATCCTGCACCCTGCATCCCGCCCGCACCCTGCACCGTGCATCCCGCCATCATCAGCATCCCGCACCCCGCCGGCACCCCGCGCCCCCCCAAGCCGCCTCTCTCTTGGCTGCCTCCGTCTTGATTCACCTCTGCGCTGCCGGAGCCTCCCCTTTTACCGAAGTGCTGTCACTTGGGGCTTATTAAGCAAGATTGTGGCAGAAATACCGCGCTAAGCTCCCGCTATTCCCTGCTGTCCTGTTAAGGTCGATTGCATCTACCCCGTTGCGTGGCTGCTGTCCCCTTTCTCCCGGCTGCTGTAACCGTGTGGGAAGTGGGACGCTGCTCTTGGAGCACGGACCGATCTTGGAATCGAGTTAAAACTCTCCCTACGCCTCACTCTGTCGCGAGCCAGATGGATGGGGAACAACACGCTGTGCAGAACAAGCTGAAACTGCTGGATGTATGGGCAGAGGAACACTGCAGGTGCCTTGGGGCTCTGTTTTGATAGAAAATGTGTTTTGAAGTGGAGATAGAAGAGTATTTAGGAATACAGTGGAAGAGGAAAGGTTTGTTTGAGAAGGAGGATTCCATCAAAAGTAATTTTTCCTGGTGGATTAACCTCAAAAAAAGGAGATAGCTGTCTCTGTAAAATAGGTGTACACCACCTACACCAGGGCGCATGCTGCATCGATGCCCTTCCTCATGGCAAAGCATGTTGCTGTGTGAAAGAGTTGCTGCAGCTGATAGAAACAGGAGTGAGAACGTGACTGCAAAAGGATTTTTCTACTGTCTTGGAGGCAGTCCCAGCTGCAGGTGGTTGGTGTGGCCTCAGCCTGGGTCTGCACTGTTGGGATTTCACAGCCACATGCTCACCCCGTGGTGCTCTGCCTGGTGGGATCAGAGATTAAAGTCTTTCCCTTTAAATTAGCACAGGGCAACTGTTTGTGCTTCTGTGCTTGTTTTGTTGCTTTAAAATGCTCACAGCTTTATTTGGGCAGTGTAGTAATTATCATCCACACAATAATTTACTTGGGGATTTGAAGAAGTTGAGGGCTTGGTGGGAAAAAAAGGGATGAAAGTTGAGGACAGCTCAGAATGAGTCCTGCTGTGAGTGTTGTACCCGGCGGCAGGAGCTGTGCCACCCACTGTGTCTTCCTCTGGAGTCTGGATAAATCTCTGCCGCAAGCAGCGCAGAGTGAGCAGGGATGAGTAAAGTGGGCAAAGTTCAACAGTCCAAATGCTGCCAAGGGTTGATGCAGGTTTTTGACAGCAGAAGGTTTCTGGCTGCGAAGCCTGTGCCATAGAACCACACGCAGACCAGGGGATCGCGATAGGGAAAACGGGTTTGGGCTCACGTGGTGGTTAGCAGGCAGATGTGTGGGCCAGACTGGGCAGCAGATGCATCTTGCCCGAGTCTTGCCTTAGAGATAAGCGACGTCTCCCTTATTCCTGTGGGAAGTGCTGTATCTCCTCTTCCTTGTGGCTCCGTTCAGCGTCCTGCGTCTGTGTCCCCGCTCCCCCAGCACAGCGGCTCCAAGCGGGCCTGGGCTCTCGCTGGCAGGCTTCTGCAGGGATCGCCAGAGCCAGCACAGAAAGCTTTGAAAATGCCACTGTTTTGTCCTTTGAACTCTGTTGCTGCTGCAAGGGTGTGACGGACCAACAGTGTTGGTACCCCTCTCTGTGTTCAGACAAAATTTTAAAATGCTGTAAGGAAAGTGGAACTCTCCTTTGTCATCTGGCTAAAGCCGTATGGGTTAATTGCTGCCAGGTTTATATTTCATCCCAGCAAAGTCTCTGTTAGCTTAATGATGTCCTGCCTATCGATTGCTGTAGCTTTTAATTTTCTCCTGGATGTGCAACAGTGGCAGTGCAGTGAGCAGGCTCTGCTTCAGCTGGGGCTGATGGCAGCGGATCATGTGCCAGCTTCCCCAGCACCTGCGAGGAGAGAGGGTCGTGGGAGATAAAGCGCTTTATAGTAAAGTTCCCTCACCAAAGGGTGGTCTGCTTTGGACCTGCACTCCTCTGCTAGCTCCTAGTGCAAGGTCTGAGTTCCTGCCCTGCGTAGCATTGCATGGAAAGCTTTACCCTCTTAGCCTCGGGAAATGTAGTCTCAGTGTTGTCTTTGTGAGCGGTGGAGGGCGCTTCTGGGGACTCGCTGCGGCTCTGCCAGCCTCAGGGGGAGGCTGTGCTTCGGATCCCCGTGCCGCTGCAGTGCTGGCCATGGCAGCTGCAGACGCGGACCGAGCAGCTTTGAAGAATAAGGAGCATTTTAAGGTGTGCTGCTTCTAGTTCTTTCCTTTTTTTGAACTTTTTGCTAGCAAAAGCTCTTTCCGCCAAGGTGAGCCTCTCTTCAAAACCCCAGCTCTGCCCTGGTGCGGTCCAGGTCAGGTACAAGTTGGCACTTTTTAGGTTAGAGGCACCGCCCATATATGACACTAAAGCATGAATGGTGTCTTGATATTTGGGGGGAGTTGTTTACATTTTCCCTTTACATAAGCTACTGTCAGTTTGGGTTTGGGGCTCCGAGCAGGAGAGTTTACCTCTAAAGCCTCCAGAGGTGGGGGCTGGACTGCTGGAGGGATCATTAATGGAAAATCAGTGCTGGCTTCCACCCTGGACCAGGACGCAGCACGTGCAGCTTGTAAAACAAATGTTGCCAGTGCCGGGACTGCCTCGGGAGCCAACTGATCTGATGGGACCAAATGGTGGTGCCCCCTTGGCAGGAGCCTGCTGTGCCGTGGTCAGGGATCTCTGAGTGCGGTGGGACAGGTGCTGGGACCAGGGTGGCTCCGTAACTGCTGCTGGCCCCTTCACTCGTGCAGAAGGGGCGTTTGGCTGGGTTTGGAGGCACGGAAACATGGCACAGGAAACAAAGTGCGCATCAACGCAATTTGATTTAGTTTAAAGCTTTTGATGTGGTGCACCTGATTGTGCCGGTAGCACTAATGTGTAATTAGCAAATTAATCCGAGCTTTTGTTACACTGTGGACTTGTAGCAGTTTATCTTTGTGCTCTGGTTGTTGCGTAATTATTACCAACTGTCTTTGAGGTGACTAAATAACCTGTTTCAGTAGTGAGATGCAACACTGATAGAATAAATCCGCAGTTATGGCATCTAATTGACTTGTGAGACCAAAACACGGTGGCGGGCGAGTGATGTAGGCCTATTTGGTTTAAGCTAAAATGGAATCAAAGAAGGGGCTGTTGCTGCAGCAATGGAAACAAAAGTGATAAACGCATGTAAGGGGTAATTAGGTCAGAAAAATCTAGCTGTCCGTGTAGTTTCAAATGTTTTTTCAGTGGCATGTGCTATTACTCATGTTGCCTGTTTAGTATCCCTGTGTTTGTGGTCACACCTACCTGCAGATTCCTGTCTTCATTTGGTTGTAATCAGCTTGGGTGAGTGCCACGTGTTTCTGCATCTCCTGGCACAACGGCCATCTGATTGTCTTGTGGCCGCTGTGTAATTGTGATCCTGCTTACAGATAACCCCTGTAATAACGCCTGTCTGCTGAGGGAGGAGATAAGACTGATAAAAAGATGAAGGGCAGGTTGTTACACTACCGGATGAGCCAAGGCAGAGGCCATTCTCGGGGCTGCCCTGGCTTCCAGCCATGCCCAGCAGCCTGTACCAGCGCTGCCTTGGCACCCCCGTCCCCAGGAGAGCTCTGTGGGACCCTCAGCTCTTCATGGTGGGACTCAAAAGCCTTTGGGAAGGGGATGATGTCCTGTTGCTGTTGCCAGTGTCACCTTTCAGCAATATGGTGTAAATATTTATTTTGAAGACAAGCCATGTGTGGAGGAATGCTGTTGTTGAAGGCTGTCCCTCTGGCCGGCTTCGTAGTATGTGCTCGTGGTCTGCAGCTGCTGTGCTAAAGCTTTTGGGTGGTTCCCAATAAGAGGGGAAGAGAAAGCATAAAAAAAAAAATTCTTCCTCATCACCTCTCAGTTTTTACCTACTGACAGGCAGGAGGAGGCTGTTTCAAACACAGACTAAAATGCCAGTCCTACACCAGTGCTGTGCCTGTCCTCACCCAGGTTGTGCTCAGCGGTGCAGCAGCCCGAGTGCCGTGCTGAAGGTGCTGAAAGCTCTGCCCAAGGGGCTGTCCCAGCCCGGTCCTTTGCCATTAAATTAGGATTTATGTCTGTGGGAATGAATGAAGAATAAAATAACTGTTTCTTTATTTTCTGCTTTGCTCCTTCCACTCAATTTTGGTTCTGGGCTTTCTTAGTATTTCCGTAGCATATACCAAGTGTCTTAAAATGGTCGCCTTCTTTTCCCCTCCCTCCCCTCCCTGTCCCTACCTCTCTTCCCTCTCATGCTAACTCTCCCACTCTCCAGCTCTCCCTTCACCATTGGGAAGGGGAGATGTGTCACCCAGTCAAGGGATGGGCTATGGAGGGCACACATGTATGGTGTGTTCGTGTGGGACCTGCCCATACAACACCAGGCATCTCTTCGCCTTCTCACCTTTTTGTTATAAACTGTTATAAAACTGTTCAAGGGCTCTGCCCCGTTCTCTTCTGGGCTTTCCCATTGTCTTCTCCCCATGTCTTGAATTTTTGAGCTTTTACACCCTCTGGAAACTGGTTCCAAAGTCTCATGCTTGATATCAACAGCAATTACTTTTTTACCCCAGGTTTCTCTTAAGTGCTGGTTGTGATGACAGGATAAGCTCGACGTGACACTTGGCATAGAAAACAGTGGCTGAGAATTCAGAAAAGTGTCACCAGAGAAAATAATGCATAAAAGGCTTTAAGAGCATTGGTGGGTTTGAGTTACACAGGCATTTTGTGTACTCTGTCCTGTACTACTGAGGGCTCCATGGCAGGAAGCTGTAAAGGATTTGCCCATGACAGCTATTCTCCTAGTCACGTTTTTTCTGCTGTTTAGTGTTCTCTGGTGTTTTTGTTATGCGGATGATAGCTGTGCTTTGAATTGCTTTTTG